ACTAAATACCTTGTTGAATGTTCGCAGAAATGATTTTCTTGGACATGAGCTTGAATATATGACCATTCGATGTTTTTGTCCCTTCATTATGCATCTAGTGGAACTAGCAAACAGATTGCATGTAGACAAAGTGGTTTTCAGCGTAGATATTGCTTGCTCTTGCCAATCAATTTTTGCCTGATAGAGGCAGTGATGTTCTGAAGACCTATCACTGTTAGCAATTGCAATCAAATACTTAGCTTCAACAGCAAGGAGTGCCTGTTCTGGTGCATTAAGATAATATTTAAATAATATCTTTGGGTATGAAGTAATTCCCGAGATCCCTTCTTGTCCTTTGGTCACCTTGTTCATGTGTTGCATTGCATGGTCTACACCAATGCGTGTAAACAGTATGTTGTTGCTTGTATTGACTGTGAATTCCCCGTTCATGAAATCTTGCCAAATTTGTGGATCTGAACTTTGAAGGTCATGCATTTGTGCAATGTAATCGGGGATGTTCTGTGCATACTCAAATCGGTTGTAGCTGAAAAAGTAGACACAGAGCTTCTCCATTGCTGCAAGGTAAAGAAGCCAGTTTCCTTCTTGAGTAATCATCTGAAATTGTAGAAGGGTGACCACCTGTCTCATGTACATGCAAATATATTTAAACATTGGATCTTTGTTGTTGCTCTCTTCATAAGCTTTAAGTTGGACTTATATATTCAAGGATTACAGCTCAGTCATGAATGTCTGATGTGCTTCTCTCACGTCTTTCTTATTCTTGCATGCATTCGTCAGCTGTACAACACTGGTCTCCATTGATTGTTTAAGAAGTGGTCAATCATGCAAAAATGCATTGAAGTATAGATCAAACAGTGCTTGAAGAGTGATTTGATGAGCCTTGATGGCCATGTTGAGGTGATAGCCATTAAGAATCTAGATCACTGTCACACTGCTGTACAAATCTGCTTCTTGCCATGCCTGGTCTATTCCACTTCCTTCAATAGCACTTCCCAAACGTAGCAGTGCACCTGTGTGGAAGGAACCTGGGCAGAACACCCATCTGTTCTTGTACTGACAATCAAGACATTCAAGCTTCAAAACATTTTTGTAGACCCATATCCAGTGTAACTGCAAACTTGTTGTATCCTTGCGACACTAGGTTGTTTAAGCATGACAACTGATTTATTGCTGTGAGCAGTGTTGCCCATTCTGAAGCTGTATGCAGACCAAACATGGATTCCTTGTATGTGACCTGGCTGTTGATTTTGGGCTTCATTTGTATGATGGTCTTCACTAGATCCAGAAACAGAGAGGTGCTGGTAACTGAGCTGTGAGAGCTGAGCTTTATTGAAGAATTGAGCCACCATCCGAACTAAATCATGTTTCTTTGGTAAGTGGAATTTTTCATCACATGACCATCTTCAAGTTTGGATAGTGTGGACTTGTTTTGGACTTTGGGTTACCCTCGATTTGACAATGGAACAACTGGATGAATGAAGATGGAAATTCTTCAGTTTCATTTGCAGTCACATTGTGCAACTCGAGTGTTTTTCCCACAGTGTTCCTTTGTCCTGATCTCTGATACACACCAATAGCCAAACCATGAAAGCTGTTCTTTCTGTCTGGGGTGTCCACCTTCTTATCAGTGTTGTCTAGGGATGCTCTTATGGTTCTGTTTTGTAACACTCCAGGTGGAACATACACTTCAAACATTTTTATGCTTTCAGACATTGCTATAGCAATTCCAGCTCCCGACTTATGCAATATTGACATTGCAGTTGACTGCATAAGTTGTGGTACATATACAGTGAAAGTCCTACAGCAAAAGTATTCTCAAACATCGTATGAAATCTTGACTCAGGTTTCTTAGGCACAAGACTCATTGTTTATTCTTGCACTGTTGAATGATTGACTGAAACAGAATAAGGCAAGATGAATTCAGCTGTTCTGCTCGAACTTCATTGCCTACACGTCAGTGTAGCAAGTTCTATAGGCACACCCTCTTTGGGAGAACCAGTAAGGATTCCATTTAAAAACCATGGACGTTCATTTCTGGATTGCAAGATGGCTTTCAAATGATTTTGGAACAATGAAATATTATTGTAACCTTCCCAAGAATATCTCTCTCCTCTACTGCATTGTCAATGGCTGAACATCTTTCCTTTGTGGAATGTATGACTGTTCAGTGACAGAAATGTTCAATATGTTCTTTTTCACTTTTTTCCATCAACTTATGATCTGATAGTTCCTTGTGCTGAACACCATGATCTCACTTTATATTGTTGTGAAGGTCGGAAATTTCTTTCCCTCCTTCATCGACTTGCTGCTGAAGATCAGCTATGAATTCAATTTCAGCTAAATGAATTGCCATTCTCATTAGTTTAGATGACCTCCTTGTTACAACTCTATCTCTTGGGTGCTTGTACAAAATGTGTCCAGTGTCTAGTTTGGCTGCTTTTCTGATATTGCATATCCCTCATGAGAAAATCACCCTCAGTGAGTACATCAGCAAGATTCAACTTCCAAAACTTGTTATCACTTTTGGAAACAATTTTTGGAATGGACTGTCCAATATCTGTGCTGATGCAAGCACAAAGTTTTTCTGGTTTATGGGACGTGCCAAGTTTATCTTCTTGACAATAGAAGCACAAATCTCGATTAAATGATGAAACACAGGACCATGTAAGGTTTTGCGTAACAGTTTCTATTGTTCTGGCCTCGTCGATGTAGGATGTCCTCCAGTCTTACTGTATAACACGTTGGCATCTTTCATTGCAGTGGCCTTTTGGTACCGCTGTCTATCTCATTCTGCATGTTGCTTGTGTGTTACTATGCAGTAGTATGTTCTGTGCCACACAGCATTGTTCTTTTTGAGGATTTGAAAAGACAAACCAGACAGTTGCTGATTGAGTTGAACATATTCAGGATTTACAAAGAAGCTCTTTGCTTGACACTGTCCAGTTAACCCTAGATCTGGGGAAATTGTCTGTTCCAACACAGATTTTCCCTCTTCCTTTATAATTTGTCACACTGGCATTTTAGGCAGTGTTTGAAATCAACACTTGTGTTTGTCTTTTTATATTTTTGATGGTGGATCTCTACAAAGATAACTTGACATGACTCTAGATTGCCTGGAATAAGATAGCTCAAAATTACTTAAATCCATTTAATCAATACTTAAATAGTTTTAACAACAAATACCACAGCATTTTGTTAAAATTCAGAATTATTTCATGATAAATAAAAATTTTTATTGACATGAAAATAAGGTTAGCAGCGGACCTCGTCGTCAAAATCATAGTAACCCCAAGGATACATTAAAGAAGCATCATTTTGGGTATGTCTAGTTAGTAATACTTTTGCTTAGCAACTCTACATTTTATTTTGTGTGTGATTATATCTAGTCCACAATTACACTGGCATATATACATGCACCAAATGTTAATCCTAATTTCTTATGTCCACACAAATGGTCGGAAATAGCTCAAAATGGATGCCCTGAACATTAATAGAAAAACTGGCAACAATTATTTACTGAATCAGTATGCCCTTGAGATAATTTTAGATATTGATGCCAAGAGTCTACCCCAAAAAAAATATCAAGCCTAGAATTTGTTATATTAGCCGGTAGACTACATTCAAAACCCATCTAGAACATTTCAAGCATGTTTCATTGCTACATTGTCTTACTGTACATTTACAAGATAACTTGCCCATGTTGGTTCTCATGGTTTTGGGTCGAGTCCTACATCTGGTCCAGCAATATAATCTCGAAAATAGTGCCAAACATCTTTTTATCTAATATGGATGACTCATTTTTTTGGATCCACATCAAGATGTAGGGCTGGCTCATGTGGCAGGTGTTAAGAAGTTTGTTTATTTTTTTAAGAAAAATAAAATTCAACCAGAAGTTTATTTTCCATACAGTTTTTTTTTTTTCAGTTGACATATATTAATTATTGCATTGTAGTCATATTCCATGTTACTTAAATATACAAAATAAAGATGAAATGTAAGCACACATAAAGTAAAATTATTAAATAGTTATATCTTTTTGTAAGAGTTAAATGCTAGGATTGGACATTATTTTTGTACCTTCTGAAATTAACTACGTGTAGGCTGTGAAGTAAATGCAATTCAGATGTAACCAAAAGTTAGTAAAAACAATCAGAAAAAATTACTTTTCATCTAAATAATGTAAAACATTCCAGAAGGAATTTTTCAACCGAATTGCCTATGCAGCAGTGAAGTTTGTTTGATAGTAAGCGAAAAGTAACTTAATTAGGTACTGCTTACTTAACTGAAAAACTACATTAGTAATCTACATGTCATCCTTCACCGTTGTTTTGTGAAGACAAAGTATGCACTAATGTATTATTAAAGGCTAAAATTTTAAAATGTAAACAGCTACTTAAAATGAATGTAAAGAAGAACCTATATTTTAAGGTACCGTGACAGAAATGAACAAAACTAAACTTAACTAATTGCAGCTCTTAATTACACCACAAGTGTAGATGATATAAGTTTGTTTGCATAGTTTAGCTATGGGCTATTAATTTGCTAGGATACAAAAAGCTGAGCTTGCTCAATATTACTTGTATCTTCCTTTACCTTTAATTCATCAGGAGCCTGAAAAAATTGATAGCTCATTATTGCTCATATCTACCTTTAATACACGTGGAGCTAAAAATAATAGCTTTGTAGTGCAATATTGCTTGTATTTTTCTTTAATAAACCAGGAGTATTTCTCTTCCTTTAAAACATCAGGAGTCAAAAGGCTTAGATATTTTAATAATACTCGTATCTTTCTTTAAAACACCTGGAGCCATAAAGCTTAGATAGTGCCATGATGCTTACATATTCTTCTAGTATGTGAGGAACCAACTGATTGTGAGATGTAATGAAACATCCTACTTTTGTATATTAGAAGACATATTGTTATTGTTCTTCTCAAAGTACAATTGAAGGGGGGGGGGGAGATTTTACTTCAAGAATAAATCCCATTCATTCTATTCCAGCAACCTGTGGAGATGGGCATCTGAAACTCAGAACTGACCACAAACATTAATGAAACTGCCATTTGTTTATATGCTTATGACCAGATGGAAATGTGTACACACACAGCTCAGAGCGGGCATAGTAGTACTTAATCCATCGTTGAATACATAGTTCTGTATGTGACATACAATTCCACATTTTCGCAATTGTGAGAATGAACACTACAGTCAGTTTAGCAGTGGTAATCCATCCAACTCTGGATTAGATGTGGATAAACTTTTCTAACTTAGTGACATTGTAGCAGGATCTTCCATCTTGGGAGATTTTCAAGCTACAACAAGGATGACCCAATGAAGGATTAAAATTTGTGTTCCTGAAATCTTGACATTAACTGAATTACATGATGAGGAACATTTTGTTTTCAAATGATATTTTTAGTGAAGAATGAATTGCATATGGATCATGTAGACCATGTATTCCAACAAAATGTGTGTATATACTTACAAAAAAAATTATTAAGAAAGATTGTAGTCTGATGTGAGCTTTAGGATAATATGAAAATACTTTTCATAGATCAATTTAGTTAGGATTGTGAGTAATTAGTTTAGTTGGGACCATCTGCAAGGGATATCATGAAATTTTACCCAGGAAAGCTTTGGAAGCTTTTATATATATATTACCAGTTTTTAATAATATGCTTTGAAACTAAAGATTTACAAGGTGATCATGTTTTTATTTCTCCAGCTGCTGCATATATATATCAGTCTGTAACTTACAAGAACTGATGATGGATTTGTGTTCCAACCACTACAGTGAAAAGATGCTAATATTACTTGGAAGCCAAATGTATATAGTATGTATAAATGTATTTGTATTAGTTCCAATCACTACTGAAGATTAAGCGTCCATGTAAGACTTAATTAAACCCTGTGAGATTATGGTGGTGTTGTACAGTACTTATGTAAATAATATCATATTTATGTGAGCTCCTAATGCAGAGGTGCACTTTTGTTTTCTTCTTATCTTTTTTTTTTTCTTCTGGACAGGCTTAAAACTTATCATGAAAACTTTCATTATAGTCCATAAAAATTGACTTATTATTACAAACTCATGCCGTCAGCAGTTTCATGATTTACTATCGTTATGGTAAAATCATCACACCTTTATTTTGAAAATTTAAAACCGTTTTATTCCTGTTACATTAAGAAAAGTTTGAGCAACATTTCTAGACTTCCATTTCCTCCTGCTGAATAACTTGGAGTATTTTTATAAAATGTTTTGGTGTGTGTTATTGAAAGAAAAGTATGAATTAGGAGATAAATAACATAACGTTTCCAATCTATTTAATTGACTCTATGAATTAAGGCAGCAGAAATAAATGAGCTTACATGGTGCCTTTCTTTGTCTACTTGTAAAATAAAAAGTTCAGTGTTTTTATGAATCAGGATTATTTATCAAACGCTTTTACAGTGACTTAAAGGACAGATACCATTTTGGTTCAGAATCTTATTTCCTTTATGTTATTACTGTTTGGTTGATTATTAGTTTTTTGTCATCAGAAATAATGCTCTAAGTTAGTTTGTTTGAGAAATTCTTCAAGTAAGTTATTACGTAGTTTTTGTATGAATACAGTTCTAAAAACTTTCAGGAACAAACCTCTTAGCTGTCCATTTCTGTACATACAAATTTGAGAATAAAAGTGAAACCTGTGTTTAAAAGTATAAACTTTTATTTAAGAAAGTTATTGCTGTACAGCTTGTTGATTCCATTTCTGAACAAAGTAATGAATAAACTACTATGAATATGCTTTCTACATTAATTTTGAATATGCTTTTTTCTGGATATTGTCAACACCCTTATTTTACCACAGATGATTAAAGTATTTGGCATGATTAACTCCGACAAAGAATACAGAGAATTGAATATATCACATTAATTTAAATAATCAAATCAGAAGATATAACAACATGGTGGTGGAACAGCATGTTTCAGAAATACATTTTGTTTTTTAAGGTAAAGTGATGCCACAGAAATTTATTTTTGGTAGTCAGATTGAACTTGACCGGACATACCGACACAGAATGTAACGACATGATGATGATGCTCCAAAAATTGTTTTAATATGAATACCTCATCTCTATTTGAAAATCAATTTTATGTTCTAAATGTATCGTCAATAACACAGGCCTGCGAATTTAAACTTCGTAAAAGTTGTTTTGGTTTTATTAACGGGTTTTCCATAATTCAGCTACGCAAATTTCGAAAATAATATTTATCTTTTTCTATCACGTAAGGATTTTTTATAAATCGGGGTTAAAAAAATATTGCGTTTACCACAATGAACACTTATTATTATGTTTGTTAACAAAAATATAAAGAAACTAAAAAAAAAGGGAAGAACATTGATATCGAACGAATATTCATCGAGATTTTTTTGTGTGAAATCTACGTCTTTTAGTCTCAAAACTATGTGTAGTGGTTTTTCTTTTATGTATTGCGTCTCGTTTCAATGACCAGCCATCATGCCGGTGTTCCACTTTACTCGATACTTCCTCTCCATTTCACTGATGTCTTGATGAAACCTGGTCCCATGTTATTCGTTGACGGCACCGAGGTTTTCAGGGAAATAGTCAATATGTGATGTGTAAGAAATGAATTATCGAGTATATTATTAACAATATTTTCGTAATTTGCTTCCTTGTTGTTTCCTAAAAATTTGTCATTAACATCTTTAAAGGGAATCCACGCTTCTTTTTCAACTTTCCTAATCTGAGGCCCAACAAAAATCCCTTCACTTCAGGAATTGCCCAGATACTTGAAACAGTCGCCATCTTTGTCTAAGGCCTGTACAAACTGCTTCATCAAGCCCTTTTTTATATGAAGTGAAGGTTACAGGACTTTCTCTGTGCCAACCAAACTTTCACGTTTAATATTTTTCAATCATGGTATCAGACTGACTCTGCGTGGCCATTGCTTCTTTATCCAGTGCTTATTTCGTGCTCTGTTGTCCCATTCAAACAAAAAACGTGGACACTTTGTATAACCGGATTGTTGACCCAGCAACATACAAAGGACTTTTCAGTCTCCACAAAGTAGCCTACCATATTCTTTGTTTCTGATCGTATCAAAAAGTTCGAGATTGGTATTAATTCGGAAATATTGTTGCAATAAACCATGGAACCGTTTTGACGAATTCTTTAATGGTTTGCCTTTGTTTCTTTACCACAAATAAAACAGTATATGTTTGGGTCGTTTGCACAACCTCTAGTTGCCATAGCAGCGAATAAATAATATTGAAAAGAAAAAAATAATGTTAAAGTACACGCACAAACAATTACTATCCAGAAATAACACGTCATGCGGCCTGTTGACCGTTTATGTACTAACGATGTGTTTCTCGTGGGTTCTAGATTGATCGATAAGACTTTCACGTCGCAATTGGTCTAGAGAAATCTATAGCCAGAGGTGGTCAACATTTTAAGCATAACAAAATGTGATCCAATTTCAATGAAAATGACTCACTTATGTAAAAGTACATGTGACGTTTTGTAAAGAAATCTGTACGTGATGGAGAAAAATATATAACTATCGGATTCAGCATACAAGAATTACTGTAAAACATGTAAAAATTTCAAGACAATAAAACCATTAGAGGCCTGTGTGATTGTTAAAATTTTAGGCTAAGTTGATATACAAACATTTTTGTTACCATCAGCACTGTTACTACAGTGGAAGTCACGTGACACTCGTAGCGTGCGTGAAGTTTCTCGAATTATCGGGGAAGCCCGAGTTTGTTCGATATACCATTAGTTGCCATTTACTGTTCTCCGTCAAAAGATTTAGATTTAAAATATCTACAATTATGTTTATCAAGAAAACCTCAACCCCTAATTATAGGCGATTTTAACGCCTCACATAAAGAAACACGCCCAGAGGAACTTTAATCAGTGATTTATTAAATAACAATAACATGCAAATCATAAACGACCACACTCCCACACGTTATCACTAGCCAACAAACACGTACGATGTCGTTGATCTTATTACAGTCCCGCACGAGTTACAAACGAAGATCACTAACTTTACAGTTCACCAAGAAATCTTTAGGGATCACTTCCCCATTTCATGCATAATACATACACGCAGACCTCCCGCACCACAACTCCCACCAGTTTACAACTACACGAAAACCGACTGGGAGAAATTTAACGAAACACTTAACAGTCAACTACCCCCTCAAATCATACAAATTAATAACAAACAAGATTTAGACTCGTATGTTAAAAATATCATACACGCCATTAACACAGCAATAACCGAAACCACCCCTTCTGCATCAAGACAAAACTCAGAATCGCATAATAATTGGACACTAACCCCGGAAATTCATGAGTTAATCATAGAACGCAGACGAATAAGGAGACAACATTACATCTTGCGAGACCCCATTATGAAAACTTAAATTAACAAACTTAACACGCAAATAAAAGATAACATAAAAATACTCAAAGAAACAAACTGACTTAATTTATGTAATAATCTAGAGAACAACAAAAAACAAACCCAAAGAATTTTGGAAAAAATTCAAGACACTTTATTCTAACAAAAACAATAACCAACTTTTCCAAACAATTATACACAACAATGTTACAGCCAAAACAGACACAGATAAAGCTCATTTATTAGCTGATTACTATGAAACATCGTTCAGCAATCTCCACTCTCCCAACTTCGATGTTGATCACCAAACAGGCATCAACAACTTCATTTACTCCCATCCTACACTGTTTACCCCAATTTTTCCAGCCACCTACACTCACGACAACGTAATCACCAACCTTGATAATTCAGTAAACAGAAGTATCACTAATGCAGAATTTAAAAAAATCAATATTAAATCACTTAAAAACTCAACTCCAGATCACGATGGCATAAGAAATATAGTTCTGAAAAAAAGCTTCCAACCTTCTAATAGAACATTTAAAAAATATCATGAACCTATCTTTACGAAGTGGATACTATCCTGACTCATGGAAACAAGCAATAGTCACTGTAATCCCCCAAAAAAACTCACCAACAGATCCAACCCAGATAACTTCCGACCCATCCGCCTATTAAGTTGCTTTATGGAAAAAATCATTTCAGCCAGACTTTTAAATTTCTGTGAATCACACAACCTATTATCAAAATATCAAAACCCTTCAAGGAAAAAAAGACAAACGATAAACCATCTAACAAGACTAACTGAATCAATTTATAAATCTTTTAATAACAATTAAGTCACTATAGGCGTATTTTTAGACGTCAAAAACTTTGACAGTGTTTGGCACAATGCCATTAAATACAAATTACACTCATTAAATGTCAACGATACCCTAATTCGATGGATATAAAATTTGTTAACAAATGGATTCGCTAAAGTAAAAGTTAACTACACTTTATCCAAAATATTTAACATAATAGCAGGAGTATCCCAAGAATCAGTCCTTTCGGCCTTTTTATACATCCTTTTTGTTAATGACATTCCTTTCCCTGAACAAACATACACCTATCATTCCCAATACGCCGATGACATTGCCGTCTGGAGTATTTCCAGAAATTCAATCATTGCTACTACTTGGGTCCAAAAAACACTAGACTTAATCTTACAATGGTGTAACAAATGGCGAGTAATACTAAACCCTACAAAAACCCAAGCCATAGCTTTCTACAGAAAATTACGCAAACACAGGATTACTCTTAAGAAAATCAAACTAACGTTAGGAGGCACTCAAATAAAAAATTAGTAATAACATTAAATTCCTAGGAATTACATTTGACACCAGACTGACATGGAATAAACACAATCAAAACATACACTCATCAATCAGTAAAAGTATCAATTATATAAGTTCATTAACAGGGAAACACTCTAACTGTGCACCAGCAACAGCCTTAAGAATTTACAAAACGTTCATTCGTCCACTCATAGAATATGGTTGTCAAATAACCTACAATATGTCTAAAAATAACCTAAAAAAACTCCAAATACAACAAAACGGAGCCATTAGATTAGCACTAAGACTATCCATTTTTACCCCCGAAAAATTCATTCACAAATTAAGTAACCTCCCCATACTCAGAAATAGATTAACAAAATTATCCGATAAATATTACACCAAGGCAAACACAAGAAATAGTTTAACAGCAACACTAAATAAAATATCAAGCGCTCCCACCAAACACATTTCCCCTTACAATCTATATTGCCTATATAATCCAGCACAGTAAACGACCCGCACGAAAAGATCGCTATTTATGCTATGTTATAATCCGGTATTTCTTTTCAGCCTGGGCACAGGACAGATGTGAAACTGGGTTTTCTCCGGCCACATCGGTTTCCCCCAAATCTAAATTATCTCTGGCTTGGATCTAAAGATCCCAACCTTGAAAAGGGACCGTTCAAATTCCATTCCAATTTCAATCAAAGTCAAAATGTTAAATCAAATTTTCCAGTTAAAATATAATTTCAATTCAATGCAAAAGATTAAAATTTATGCTCAAACTCTAAAATCAAAACATTTAATACATAAACATGCATATTTAAATAACAATGTGGAAGCTCGTTGCTTGGTGACAGTATTGGTCCTTCTCTCTTCGCCACGACTCAACCGACGCCGGATTTCACGAAGCTGCTTCGGTCTTTTCCGCCCGTCTTCACGGCCTCCCGACTCCGTTCACTAACGGCCCAACACGTCACTGAATGCCAAATCAAGACTTACTAAGCAAAATAGTATATGCGCGTGGTTGAAGGGGAACAAAAGTTCCCGAGCACTGCAG